ATCAATAGTATATTTCGTACATTAAAAGAGAGCGATCTTTGACTGAACTACAGCACAACAGTTGTGCGATTGTCGCATTTGCAGCTCAACTGTTTAGTTGCATCTAAAATCGAGTAGTGTGCGCACCTTCATGCAAACTCAGGAATCAAAGCGCGACTAAACAGTTTTGCAATAGTTTAGTCAAAGGGCTGAGATCTTTATAGTTTTTCATTCATTACAAACATTCAAATCTCTTTTATAATATTAGTAAAAGTATTTTTCTAAACAAAATAATGTAATCTAAAACGAAATCGCAAAAAGATAAAGTAAAGATGAACTGTAACGAACGAATCTCGAAGCAATCGTCAATCTCGCTTAACGAGTCAATAAATCAGTCATTCATTCGCTCATTGCGAGATTTCCATTCACTCGATCATTTAACCTGTTGCTTATATTTTGAATTCAGTCTGTTTATATGTAAATTGGATTTCAAAAATCGAATTACTTGAACTAGCTTTCGCCGGCGAATCCGACCGCGTGGAATAAAAAAATAACAAAGTACGCAGCCTATTTAGCCTAAGCTATCTATGCCAAATTTGATCGAGATCCGTTCAACAGTTTAGGCTACAAACTCTAACAAACATCCATCTAAACTTTAGCATTTATCATATTAGTAAAATTACTAATGTAACTAGTTATGCCTTTAATCAATTTTTCAGTTACTTAATTAATTATTTTTGTATTTAAATTAACATTGAGCCATGATTAAATTAAATTCTATTACAAAAATAAGTGAGTATTGAGTATTAGTTGTAAAATGTTCGTAAAGGGGTGTTAGTGTGAACATGAACCGAGCTCGGCCTATTCATTAGCCGCTGACGAGGTCACGGAAGAGCCGTTTTTTCTCACCAATACACTTGAGGACAAAATAAATGACACACACAAATTAAGTTTATAATATGTCGCATAAGATGCATAGTACTTAGTATAGTCCGCTAAATTGACGTTTTATTTTTATGTTAAATGCAAAATTCTAGAATTATCCGGAAAAAAAAACAAAAAGTTAGTAAAAAATGGCATATCCATTTATAGTTTTCTAGTGTTGTTAAAAACATTTCGTAATTTAGAAAATAAATAATTTTGTAGTATGGCAGAAACATTGTAAGGAATTGTATTATTAAATAGAATACATACTGTAAACCGTAAAATTCCTAAAATAATCTATAGGAATTTTAGGAAGAAAAAGTAGAGATAAATATTAATTGCCATAAGGTCACAAAATACAATACTAAATCTAAAATAAAACAACGTATAATTGTTTGAAAAACTTAAATTAGTAAAGTTAGTTTTTTAATACCTTCGTGGTTACGTTATTTTGTCCTGCAGTGTACCGCTTAACAGGCAATGAACAGTGAGTGACGGTAGACAGTCGTGTCGGATTGGTTATGTTACTTTGCTGGCGTTAACTCGGCAAGCGCGATCGCTCGTGTTCATTTCACCCCTTAATTCCCCTTCACTAGGTTTTTAACACCGACTGTTAAGGTTTCAGTCGCCTGTATTAGTTACACGTACTGTTGATTTCCGTTTATTTGTAAACATTTTGAATTATAACAGTGGTAGAGCCTTAGGAGCGTCGGTGGCTCAGTGCTTTAAGCACTTGACTTGTATCTTAGGTTCGAAACCCGCCATGTACTAATGTGATTTTTGAATTATCATATGTACATAATTTACCCGACGTTCTTACGGTGAAGGAAAACACCGAGATGTGTGAAGTCAACCAACCCGCACTGGGCTAGCAAAGTTGACTATGGCTTAGTCCCCCTTATTTAGGGTAGTCTCCAAGCCCCTCTGTATAGTGAGCTGGTGATGAGAGTCTGAAAATGGTTCGACTCACCCCCCCCAAAACACCACGACAGAATGTGGTCGTCAAGTGTTAAATCCACATTTCAAGACACAATTACAAGGCAAGAATCCTTTGTGCGTCTTTTGTTCAATATACGCTATCTAAAAAAAAATAAAGTTAAAAATCTTAACTAAGGCCTAGTCACCCTAACGTAGGGTAGGCTCCGAACTCCTTAGTGATAGGGATAATAAGCTAGTGATGATGATG